TACCAGATTACCAGTAAGGAAAGTTTAAACTACCATACTAGGTTACCAGTAAGGAAAGTTTCAACTGCTTTACCAGATTACCAGTAAGGAAAGTTTCAACTGCTTTACCAGGTTACCAGTAAGGAAAGTTTCAACTACCATGCTAGGTTACTGGTAAGGAAAGTTTCAACTACCTTACCAGGTTAGCAGTAAGGAAAGTTTCAACTACCATACAAGGTTACCAGTAAGGAAAGTTTCAACTGCTTTACCAGATTACCAGTAAGGAAAGTTTCAACTGCTTTACCAGATTACCAGTAAGGAAAGTTTCAACTGCTTTACCAGATTACCAGTAAGGAAAGTTTCAACTACCTTACCAGGTTACCAGTAAGGAAAGTTTCAACTACCTTACCAGGTTACCAGTAAGGAACGTTTCAACTGCTTTACCAGGTTACCAGTAAGGAAAGTTTCAACTACTTTACCAGGCTACCAGTAAGGAAAGTTTCAACTACCTTACCAGGTTACCAGTAAGGAAAGTTTCAACTGCTTTACCAGGTTACCAGTAAGGAAAGTTTCAACTACCATTCTATTAGTGTAAAACACTTAAATACACCATTTCGATTTTCGATACCTTACTACTATAAAGACTTGGTTTGGTCTGAATCTTCATGCACATTTACCCATCTATTATTCATTTTACCCATTTTTCTTTTTTCGTCCCTTGGCTGACGAGAAGGCCTAACACTCTACCGGCCCGCCAGTCCCCTCGGGATCGGAATGAAATAACGCTCATGCTGTTGCTGTTGTTGAAGTTTCATTGGTGGTAGTGGTCAGGGTCATTGATGAAGAGTGGAATTCTCCGAAACTAGTCTTGTTCACAGACCCACCATCAATGAAAGAATAGACCATTCCAAGCTTTTACTTGGTGTTAAACAAACATTTAAACAACTCTATTCAATTATGTACCAGCTGCCAAGTGTCGGCTAACAATACGAAGAATTAAATTGTGGCGGATGCTACAAGTTCTTCAAATACCAATAGAATGATAGGTTTCTTTTTCTGTGAGTGTAAAACACTTAAATACACCATTTCAATCTTACACTGTTCGATAATGTGAACTTCTACGTAAAATGGTAAAACAATATTTTTTGTCCATATAATTTTAAGCTTGAGTTGTAGTCATTCATAGATGAAAAGTTATTAATCCTAAACAGCATAATGTTTTTTTGCACTTTCTTCCGGATTTGAGTTGTAAACTTTGATTTATTTGTGACAAAAGTTTTGAAGAAATTTGGAACTTTAATAATCTTGTTTTACTAGAAACGGAGTCAATAAAATCTGCCAAGTTAAGCAAGTACGACATTTTATTGAACCAATCTTATACAGAGGTCTTAACAAGCGAACTATAACATTCAACAAAAAAGCGACATATTTAACAACAGAGAAACGAGCATTTCTTTGTTCTTTCAATAATGAAACAATGGCTTACTAAACACTTGTACACGAAGCGCAGAGATTAACGGTAAAGACTACACATCCGAAAGCTGTTCCAACCTCCCTTGTGGTTGGGAGGGCTTACACTAATGAGCCCCGAATTATTAGTATAAGCACATCGCCTAGCGCAAGGGAAAGAGGCTGGAACTCTGAGTTTACAACACAATAACCAGTAAGCCTTACCTAACAAGAATATCAGCACAAAGTAGGTATTCAAGTTTTCGCAAAGTCTGAGAGCATTTATCAATATTTGAGGCTTATCTTTTCGTTCAAAATCTTTTGGCTTAGAAGCCTTAAGTCCTTGTATTATATCAATGTCCGCCCTAGTTAAATTTGATTTACCGATGTTTTTCTTGTCTTCACCAAAGCGGCCTTAGAGTGTTCTCATTTTATAAAATAGTCTCGTGTGCTGATGTTCGTGGTCCATTAACGAGGCTATATCTAGAAGAACCTTCGCGTCTGCTGACGAGATTACCCATCATGAACAAGTCTTTGAAGGTCTCTCGAAACTGTCGACTCATACCACAGTAGATGGCAAAGTTGAAAGGGTAACTGAGCATGATGAAGAAGTTGGTAAACAGAATGGTGGCGTTCAAATCATTATAGTCGGCGATCTGGAGTTCGAGAGCATTCTGCATGACGTGGAGCAGAGTTGTCACCGCCAGAGGGATCTCCACAGCAAGGAATACTGTCACCACAACGATCAACATAAGAGTGGTACAGTTACTGTCTCTCAGCTTCTTACACTCGCTCTTACGGTTTTCCTTGAAAAGTTTGTCTCGCTTCCGCTGGGCTTCTTTGAGAGCTTGAAAAAGCAGCACATTCAACACGACTAAAGCCGTGCAAGGGCCTATGTGAACAAATAGTATGCGAAAGACGTAGTAGTAGGTAAAGTAGACGTTTTCATTGATGACGTTTCTCACCCAACTTGCTGTCTGAAACATGCAACCTGTGTGAACTCCACTGTTCCACCTGAAGGTTATCGCGTGAAATACACGGTCGAAGATCCTGGTGGACTGGTGGAAGAACGCTAAGAGGTACACCGACACCATAGCCTTTACAACACGTGGGACGGTGCACCAGGTGGTGGCAACCGTCGGGTGACACACGTAGATGTAGCGTTGAACAGCAAGGACCAGAGTGAGCCAGATGGAAGCGGTGTGGAAGAATGCAGGGACCACTTCATACATGTAGTGATAGGAGTAGCAGGCAGGGATAGGAAACAGTACCTTGTTGTAGTTACCCAGGGTGTACATATAGAAATACCAAGGTGCCGGAAACAACAGAGTTAACAGGTCAGAAATGGCCATGGCCAGAAGGACCAGGTTAGTTGGAGTGCGCATATGTCGTTGCGCCAGGACCACTACAATTAAAGTGTTAGCCACTATCGTCACTAATAGTAAGAATGGCATAATGTAGCCAAACAAGGGCATTGCGTACTTGAACGGAACGTCTCGGGTGATGTTCAGTAGAGTTGGGATTTCTGATGAATTGGGTAAATACGAACCCATATCCGTTTCATTTGTGACGTTTACGTCATATATGTCTTCCAGAATTGTCAGTATGGTGGTGAATATATCCGTAGTTTCGTTCATCGTGTCGAATATTGAGATTCAAACTCTATACGTGTTTTATGTAAACGTTCAGAAGAACTTGAAGGAAAAAAATAACTCTAAACACAAAGTTTTTTGCTTCAATGACACTTAGTAAAACAACATATACTTACAACAGCTAATCGTCTTTCAAATAAACATTCTAAAACATTAGAAAGAACACTTCTCTGAAGTCTTCATTATTTCTGCCTGGCGAATAGGTCCTGTACCTGGCTTATACCTGAAAAGACAAAAGAAAGTTACGAATGAATAACAATTTTATACAACACACTGTGTGATATTACCTTTAAATCTTTAATGTTTAACCGATTATTTAAGAAGTTAGCTTACCAGTACGAAAATTAAATGTTTTTTTTTCCAAAATAATCGAAATTGTGCACAAAGTTTAACCATAAAAAGCAGGAAATCAATTTTTGCTGTGGGCACAGCATAGATAGTTCTTCAAGCAGGTTAGCGTGCTAAGACTGTGAATCCTAGGATTGACGGTACGCAACCTATTGCCGCATAAACGCGTTTTATACTTTGAAACCGAGGATTTTCGATAAGATTAAAGTGAAGTCCCACCATTCGATCAGTGTCTCAAAGTTTGCGGTGCGTCGTTTTGTTGACTATCTGCATAAAATCCAGCGTTTCAGTTCAAAATTAGGAAGACTGTGCGTAAATTCTGAAACAATCAAAGCAGAATTTGTCTGCAAAATATTAGAAAAAACAAACAAACAACAACAACGGAAATTTACATCGGAAGAGGTGATTTCAAGGAAAATACGAAACTTTCTCGACCTATCCGGGTACTTAATGACAAAGCTATACAATGGGCTATCTGTGCTCTGCCCACCACGGGTATCGAAACCCGGTTTCTAGCGTTGTAAGTCCGCAGACATACCGCTGTGCCACTGGAGGGGGGCTCGGTGAAGAGAAGAATCGCACTCCACGGGGGCTCAACAAAGACGCTATTAAGCTTTCTGTTTATGTTTTAGTGTACTTTCCTCCTTCACGTAGTTTGGAATACTTTATACGACAGCCCCCCCAGTGGCACAGCGGTATGTCTGCGGACTTACAACGCTAGAAACCGGGTTTCGATACCCGTGGTGGGCAGAGCACAGATAGCCCTTGTGTAGCTTTGTGCATAATTAAAAAAAAAACAAACAAATTTATACGACAGAGCGCCTGCCTTTAGTTTGTTTAATTTCTGTGATCATGTTGAGGTAGTAGATTTTCCAGTAGAGTAGCTTTTTTAAAATACCTTTACATGCTAACTCGTAGCTACCCATGCCGAGTACGTTAATAAGGAGACGAAACCCGTCCAAAGCGAGCGTTTGTTTGTTTTTTGAATTTCGCGCAAAGCTACACGAGGGCTATCTGCGCTAGGCGTCCCTAATTTAGCAGTGTAAGACTAGAGGGAAGGCAGCTAGTCATCACCACCCACCGCCAACTCTTGGGCTGCTCTTTTACTGACGAATAGTGGGATTGACCGTCACATTATAACGCCCCCCACGACTGAAAGGGCGAGCACGTTTGGTTTGCGAGTCGAGCGCGTTAACCACCTGGCCATCCAAAGCGAGTGACTAGCTTAATATAGTTTGGAAAATTATATGTACCTCAACGTCCCTGGAATATATCTTTAGGAATCTGATCACCAAATGATTCTGTAGAAATAGTTAGGAGTTGAAGCGACGTAGGTTTTTTAACTTTTCTCAACTGAATCAGCTTAAACGAATTAAAAACATTCATTTCCGGAATTTAAGAAAAGGAATTGTTCCATGAAAAATTTGATAAGTAATCTTCAGAAATAGCTTAGCAAAGAAAGACTGTTGAAAATGGCATTTATCTTAATCAACATCTTAGGTAAAGCCGGAGTGCGCAAGACATAAATGTGATTTTTTGTTTATTTTGGCTAGCAGTCAAAGGTTTGTTATACATAGCCATAAGGTGTATAAGTTCTAAGTAAGAAATCTTGGGCACGCTGAGGTTTTCTCTACTTAGTCGTAATTACAGACAGTGCCAAATAAAGTACTTATCTACCATTTTCCGGTTTTACTGGTTCAACATCGCTTGTAGAAATAGTTCAATATCGTATGTTTACTTGGGTAGTTTAGAGCTTTCGCAAAGATTTCCAAAGGCATTCTGACCATAACTTTCCCTAATTTTGTCCAAAGGCTTTCTGACCATAACTTCCCCAATTTTGTCCAAAGGCTTTCTGACCATAACTTTCCCTAATTTTTTCCAAAGGTTTTATGACCAAAACTTTCCCTAATTTTTTTCCAAAGGCTTTCTGACCATAATTTTCCTTAATTTTTTTCCAAAGGCTTTCTGACCATAATTTTTCCCTAATTTCTTTCCAAAGGCTTTCTGACCATAATTTTCCCTAATTTTTTTCCAAAGGCTTTCTAACCATAACTTTCCCTAATTTTTTCCAAAGGATTTCTGACCATAACTTTCCCTAATTTTTTCCAAAGGATTTCTTGCCATAACTTTCCCTAATTTTAAACTGATAGACTAGATGGAAGGCAGTTAATCAACAGCACCCACTGCCAACTCTTAATCTAATCTGTCTTACCGAATAGAAGATGTGACATTACTCCTGTAAGGCACCCACGGACCCTACGGGCAGAGCGTGATTTTGCGACAACAGGTCGTAAACTATGAACCTTTGGTTACACTTTTCGCGCACATTAACAAATTAGACCATGGCTAACTCTCAAGTCATATGTCTACAAAGGAAAAACTGGCAATTTTTCTATATGTACCTATCTTTGAATAAATGATTTAACGATCTGTTGCTACAATTTTCCGTTTAATATCTAATCGGTTAAAAAAAGCCACCTTTCTTTAAATGTTGGTATATTCTATAGAGTGAATGTAATTAATCTCAAGAGATAAAACCACCTTTCTTTAAATGTTGGTATATTCTATAGAGTGAATGTAATTAATCTCAAGAGATAAAACCACCTTTCTTTCAATTTTGGTATATTCTATAGAGTGAATGTAATTAATCTCAAGAGATAAAACCACCTTTCTTTAAATGTTGGTATATTCTATAGAGTGAATGTAATTAATCTCAAGAGATAAAACCACCTTTCTTTAAATTTTGGTATATTCTATAGAGTGAATGTAATTAATCTCACGAGATAAAACCACCTTCCTTTAAATGTTGGTATATTCTATAGAGTGAATGTAATTAATCTCACGAGATAAAACCACCTTTCTTTAAATGTTGGTATATTCTATAGAGTATATTATTATATTAGAGTATATTCTATTTGATATTAATATTCTATTAATCTCACGAGATATATATTAGAACTTGTTTATCAATTGATTCGTTTTATTTACTTGATTTTCCCGCCACTTTTAGCTATACACGACTTTCATAGATGGAGTCTTTTAAAACCTGTTTTATTTTTGTTATTTTAAGGAACTTTAGGTTATTCAAGTGTCATTGACACTCACGTTCTTTCTAGAGTACTATCAGACCATAGGTAGTACAGAAGCCCATCAATAACCATGTCAGTTAATTACCCGAGGTAATAACGAACTTTTAGAAATGGGGTTAACGAGTAGAACAAAAAGATGAAAGGAAGTTTTGTGATTAATTTTACAATTATTAGTAGTTTTTTGACAACTGGAGGGGGGTATTTACGTCATTAGTCCTCAATTATATCTAACATTCAAGGGCGACAAAGAAAGTAGATATTGTAATATATCTTTGCAACGAAGTTCTTATTGTTACTGTTGGGCCAGGCGTGTCCTTGTGACATGCGTACCCAGACTGTAAATCCGAAGGTTCAAGGTTATCGACTCGCTGATGCAAAAGTACGCGCTCCTCACTTTTGGACCATATGTGTTATTCCCGCTATTCAATCACACAAAAGAAGATTCTGGGGATTATAGGTGGGTAGTGTTGACTTGCAGCCTTCCGTCTAGTCTGTTAGCTCAAAACATTGTATATTTGTATGAAAACAACAACAGAAAAAAGTTATTGTAGTTAACATGGGTGTTGGAAAACAAGCTTAGCTTAGTATAAATAAGAGCATTGTTGCTCATTTCCTGGGTCGTTAGCTGTGAATTTAAACTAATGGAAACTGTATGGCTCCTTTAGTCATATTTCATCGTTATTTTCGATGGCTAAAGACATCTGAAAAGTATTACTCGGGAAATAGTGTTATTTATAACCTATTACTTGGACACGATAAACAAATTCCTCGTTATACATTATCCCTTCTTAGAAAGCAATAATCAATACGAACACTGCGAACCATGCATCAGTTAGGCTTAGCATTGGAAGCTGTAAAGTTACCTTAGCTTATGTGCGTTCTCATGAAGAACAGAGCCGCGAAAGCGCGCGTTGTAGAATACTTAAGAAGATAATAAGGTGGATTAATAATGATTATGAAAAGTGTTAAGAGTTTTATCTATTTATTATGTTACAGAAGGATTATATCTTTTTTCTCGCCTATTAGTTGTCCATTATTTTCATAATTGAAAGTAACGCCTTAAAGTCAAATTATCAGATCCCATGGCTCAAGGCGACGGCCTGTCGTAGAGTTTTAAACTTTGGAGCTGTAGATGCATTATGAGAATGACAATCAATCCTGACTGGCTGTCTTTCCACTGGTCAGTGGTAATTTTACGGACTTACAATGCTAAAACCTGGGATTAAATTTCCCACAGCGGACAGAGCGCAGATAGCACATTGTGAGGTTCTGTGCTAAAACATCAAGAACAGTTCAAAGCTATAGACGGCGACAAACAGTCTTTGACATCTCTCACACAAACATAACTATTTCAGTTATCTCTCACGCAGACATAATTAATTCAGTTATCTCTCACACAAACATAATTAATTCAGTTATCTCTCGTACAAACATAACTACTTCAGTTGTCTCTCACACAAACATAACTATTTCAGTTGTCTCTCACACAAACATAACTACTTCATTTATCACTCACACAAACATAACTACTTCAGTTGTTTCTCGTACAAACATAACTACTTTAGTTATCTACGTAAGGAAATTCTGCCCGTGAATAAAACTGAAGCTTAATAGGATGAAATATGAGGTTATTCAGGTTATTATGAGGTTATTCAGGACAACTGTTAGTTTTCTCCACCATATAATATTCTACCAGAAAAAATTAAACCTCTAACATCCGTCAATAAGAACATTAAAGGTTTGCAAAGAATAGATGGCGTAATAATCTGATCAAAATACGTT